CTGTGTCTTCCCCCGGGATTCCCAAAATATTAGCTAGGAATTCTGGGAAATATAACTCAACATAGTTGGAAAATACTGTTTTATTGGAACCAAAAACCAATCTAGACATTTGACATGTCCCTGTTGCAATTCACATATTTCTGTCCCCCTTCTGGTTTGTAAAGTACCCACCTTCAGCACATTTCCTGTTAATGCTGTGTCAAAATTTGCCTTCAGTTTCTCCTAAGTTTTCTTCTCCTATGAGCAGGCTTCCGGTTTGCCACTTTGTTCTCAAAGTAGCTGATAATGACTTTTGACTGCATCTTGGGAGCATTTTTGAGCGTTGAATTAGCTTTTCTGGATTCAGAAGATCTGCTAAACTGAGCCAGTTGGCTCATGGATTAGACCAGAGGCAAGACTGGGAAGTTGAAAAATATTCTGGAAGAAACCACTTCCACATTGAAGGACCACCAACATCTCCACTGAAGAGTTAAGGACCTGAAAGAGATTTTACGTTTTTTCTGTGTGACTTGTTGGAGCTGGTAGAGGAAACTACTCCTGGTGTTGCAATTTCCTTTTAGACATCTTTCCAGCATGCTGTAGCCTCCACCTCCCATTTTGAAATGGCTCCATGGGAGAAGTTGCCTTATCCTGGTCTTCCATTGGGATCGAGCGAAGGAAACTGGAGAGATGACTCCCCCCCAATATGATGGAAAACAGGGCATTCAGACCCATCCCTTGGCCCCATCACTCCTCAATAAATGCAAAGCATCAGACTTTATCTACATCCATCTCTCAAGCTTTCTCCTGCCCATTCAGGATAGTGCCAGAAGTACTGTCTTTTTCAGGATAGTGAACGAGAGCCTGAACAAATAACAATAGACTAGTTTGCACTAGTTCCTCCCAGAACTATTCTTTCTGTGCTTCTCCCTCATCTTTGTACAAACCTGATTACTGTTTTCACACAATTTGCTAGCTTTTTGTGGTCTCTGTGTGCCATAATAACACAACATATAAACTGAGACTATCAGGTTATGTTGTGGTCCGCCAGCAGCCTGCGGACCTGGCAGCGGAGTCGGACAGCGAGGAGGCTGGGGAGGACAATGGGCCAGTCCTGGAGTCTGGGGAAGGCTTGGATAAGGGCTCTGCATCGGAGGCAGAGATGGGGCCAGGGCCATCTGGGAGCGATGCGCAAACTCCAGAGCCTCCAGAGTCAGACAGCAGAGAGGCAGAGGAACAGGAGGAGCCTGTTCCTAGTGCACGCATATGAAGAGCTGCCAGAAAGCAAGAGCAGCTGAAGCAAAAAGGACGACTCAGGAGTAAGGCCAGGAGATGATTGGCCCCTCCCATAAGGCTTAAAAGAGCAGCAACAAACCATTGGGTTCTTCGCAGAAAAGCAACGTTGATTCCTGTGCTTCTTGTCAGTGTCTCTTGAACTTTGTAGGGGTTTTGCCATGAAAAGCCTTTGGCAGGCTGCCAGAGACATCAAAGGTTGGTGATAAGGCCGAAGAATTGGTTTTGGACGAAAGCTGAGAATGAATTAATTCTCAGCTGTTTTAATAAAATAAGTTTGTTTAGGATTGAATTGTGTTTGGTCTACTTGGGCCTCGGTCACAATAGGTTATATTTTGGGAACCCCAAGCAATGCGTTAATTCACACCAAGTTAAGTATGATGAGCGGTATGGTGGCTCAGTGATTAAGACACTGGGTTTGTCAGCTGGAAAGCCGGCAACCAAGGTTCGAGACCTGAGCACCACACAACAGACTGAGCTCCCATTCCCACCCCTGCTCCTGTCAACCTAGCAGTTCGAAAGCATGCAAATGTGAGTAAATAGATACCACTTTGAGTGGGAAAGTAACATCATGCTGGCCACATGACCACAGAAATGTTTTCGAATAGTCTAGCTCAGGGGTCAGCAACCCGTGGTTCTGGAGCCGCATGTGGCTCTTTCATCCCTCTGCTGCGGCTCCGGTCAGCTCCACAATTGATAGGGCTTTTGGCTAGGACAGGTAGAGGAAAAAGGACACCACGCTAGGAGAAGACTCTATGGTGGGGAACCGGACTTCCAGTTGGCTCCAGAATTAAATGGAGGGCTTCCAGTTAGGACCTTTGTGGCTCCCTGTGTTTTCTTTTCTGTGGGAAATGGGTCCAAATGACTCTTTGAGTGTTTAAAGTTGCCAATCCCCGGTCTAGCTCAATGGCCTTGAATTGAAGATGAGTGCCACCCTCTATAGTTGGCAATTATGAGTAAAATACTCAGGGACTCCTTTACCTTTACCTTTTTAAGTACGATGTGTAAATACAAACATGGTGTTCTTGGATTTATCAGCGGATGACCTTCTGTCCCCTTTCCCTCATTTCTATCCCTCTGCTTGCCTTTTCTCCTCCCTCCCTTTGCTCCTGGCATCCACAAAGGTCTTAGGTCAGAAGAGGAAGCCTCAGGCAGTTCAACTGCAACAGTGGATCCATGACCCAGAATCCCTCTGGTGTTGTGAATTCAGCGGTCCAAGAGAACAAATCCATCGCAATTCCTATCCTGTGGAAGCACAGCCCTGCCATTTCTGATTGAGCTTCCAAACGATAGGAAATCTGAATGTGGCATTGCCTGAGGCCCATCTCTGGCCAACCAAGTCCATCCTATTGCAGTCTCTCTCTCTCTCTTCTCTCCTTGCCTTTAGGACCATGGCATCATAGAGCAAGGAAGGGACCCCAAAGGCCATCAAGTCCAACCTCTGCTCAATGTGGAGCTTTGAATGAAGGCATCTGAAAAGATAGTTGTCCAGCTCCTACCTGAATCCATCCAATAATTCTTCACCTCTGCATTATTGATTCCATCATTTAACGCACACATACACACCCGTGTAGGATTCAGGCAGGATCCAGTCCTTCTCGGAGATCACAGCAGCTCAACCAATGGGGATCTGTAACATGAAGGATTGACCCATCACTGCCTCCCCAGAAAACTTGGGAGATCCTTTGTTTCCCCCCCCCAACACTTACTGATTCTATGGGGTGGATTAGCTTGGCTTTTGGAGAACCGGTAGCGGAAATTTTGAGTAGTTCAGAGAACCGGTAGTAAAAATTCTGACTGGCCCCGCCCCCATCTATTCTCTGCCTCCTGAGTCCCAGCTGATCAGGAGGAAATGGGATTTTGCAGTAACCTTCCCCTGGAGTGGGGTGGGAATGGAGATTTTACAGTATCCTTCCCCTGCCACGCCCACCAAGCTATGCCACGCCCACTAAGCCACACCCACAGACCCGGTAGTAAAAATTTTTGAAACCCACCACTGGATCAGTCATTTCCCAAAGCAGCAGTCCTGGAGGGTCCCCCCCCACATCACCGAACCAGTTCTGCCCCCCCGCCCCCTCCCCGTGTTATTCTTACCTTTTATTTGGCCCCACCCCCAATCTATTGCTGCCTCCTGAGTCCCAGCTGATCAGCTAGAAGAAAAAAGCTGTTTAAACTCTTGCTGTGGGGCTTCAAAGGGCTGCCCTACAGCTGATCAGTGGTAAAAGGCAGTTTGGTGGTAGACCTGTGCCTGCAAAAATACATGATTAGACTGGTGCCTGCAAAAATAAATGAATAGATCAGTGCCTGCAAAAATAAATGGGTAGACCGGTGCCTGCAAAAATAAATGGGTAGACCGGTACAGCTCTGCAAGCAGTTAAAAGCCTGGTAGACCAGTACCTCTGCTAAATCCTAAAGAATTGTCACATGACCATCAAACCACACCCACAAAATAAGCCACGCCCACAGAACCGGTAGTAAAAAAAAAATAGAACCCACTCCTGCCCCTACCTGGAGGATGGGAGATGCTGGCTTGCCAGACCCCAGTTTTAAATACCCCACCATGCGCTGGAGGAGGGGTTCATGCGGGGGCTTTTATCTCTTCTTCGGGCGGTGGGGGGGGGGCTTCAAACTCAAAGGCCTTTTTAGCCCCACCCTCCCATTTGGTTCCAAAGTGGCCCAGCTGTCTTTCATTCAGAGGGATGGGGGCGGGGGAAGGCGGCAGGTGGGTTGCAGATTTTCTCCCGATCACTGGCCGCCGGTTCCGCGCGAGCGAGGGCCCTGCTTGGGCGAGTGAGCTGAGCTGGGTTGAGCCACGACTGAGTCCTGGGGAATACCGGCTGCCTCCTCTTCCTCCTCCTCCTCCTCCGGCTTCCCGCCTCCGTTCTTCCTAGTCTCCCTTATCTCGAAAGGCCCCGTCCTCCACCCCACTCAGCTGCTTTGGGGCTGGGGGGGGGGGGACGGGCAGCAAAGCAGGCAGGCAGTGAATCGAAGAGCCCAAAGCTCAGAGGTGCCTCCCCGCCCCCTTGGAAACCTCTCTCTCTCTCTTCTGCTTTCTCTCTACCGTCCCTCCCCCCCCCTCTCTCCCCCCCTCCCATCACCACCATTCCCAGTCCTTTTCCTGCGCTCGCTCCTTGGACATCCGCTCTCGCTTCAGGCCCTCCGCCGAGAGTTGGGTGGCCCGCGGCTGGGTTCCCCTTGCAGAGAAGAGAAGAAGACAGGAGACCGGGACGAAGGCGGTTGGCTGTCTGGTCCAAGTTCTAGGAACCAGGCTTAGGTGGGCAAGCCAGAGACGACGGGAAGCCTGACTGGGGGGCGTGTGGGGGGGGGCGGAGGCGGTTTGCCAGGTAGTGGCAACTAAGGCTGGAGTCCTCGCCCCCTTTTTCTGTCCAAGGAAAGTAGCAGAGAAACGAACTGCCAATCAGAAAGAGAAGGAGACCCCTCGCCTCCCCTCCCCCGCTCTGCCCAGTTCCTGGGAAATCCACCTCCGCATTTTTGCTCTGTCTCCTCCCCCTCCCCTCCTTCCTCTCTTCCCTCCCTCTCCTCCCCCGCCCCCCCCTCCACGCCATCTCCTCCTTTTCTCTCATTTTCTCGGTGTCTCAGTAAGTAAAGAAACCTCAACCCTCCCCTTCTTTACTCTTCACCCCTGGATCTGCAGTGCAGGGCTGGAAGAGGGGGAAAAAAAGAGCTTGGAAAGATTGTGCCCACGCCTTCTCCCCCCCTCCCCACCCCGTCCCTCCCCCCTTTCCCTTGAAGCCCTTTGCCTTCTAGACCCCAGACCAGCCAAGACCCAGTGCCATCTCCGACCTCTCTCCCCGCTGACGTGCGCTCGGGAAAGGCAACCGGCACTCGGAAGGGGAAGCCGAGAAGACCATTCGGGGGGATTTAAAAGGCTGGAAGGATATGGTCGGTTGTTCTGGATGCCTCGGACAAAGGTAAGAGGAAGCGTGTGCGCGCTTTTATTTCGTTCTTTCTTGGCTACGCTGGGTCAAACGACGTGGCATCCAAGGGTGGCTGAGATGCCTGGCTTTGTTTCAAGGCAGAAAGAGAGCGAAGCTGGCGGTTGGAGAGATCGGGCTTGCTGTGCGGGTTTTCCGATCAACAGTTAGTTGCCACCGCGTTTGCCTTCTGGCATTATCTGCCTAGGGTCCAAGGGCCAGGCAGAGAGAGGCGTGAGAGTGGTGTGAGTGTGTGTGTGTGTGTTTGTGCCTGCGTGCGTGTGTGTGTGTGTGTGAAAAAGAGCGAGGACTGCTTTTGCTCTGTGCCAAATTCTCCCCACGTTGCACTACGGCTCCCAGCTCCACGCCTGCCACTCTAAATCTGCCATGTGGTAGCTCGGTGCTACTTACCTGCAGCGTTCCCACGTTGCCCGTGTTGGTGGTTTTTCCTTCTTCCAAATTCACCGCGGGGTTGTAACCTCCTTGAACGAGTAACCTCCTCTCCCTCCCACGAGTATCTCTTGCCATCGGCAGAAGTGCGAGAGGAGCTGTCCCTCTCTGTGGTGCTGAATCTTTCCAGGTTACGTTCCCCGCCAGCAAGAACCGCTGCCATTGGTGAGAGCCCGGGCAGCGGGTGCTCGTCTTACAATTACTCAAGAGGGGGGGGCAGATTGTTCAGTGGCCCCTTGGTAACAGAGAAGGGGATCAAGCTGTATTCCTCCCTTTCACTTCTTTCTATTGGAGATACCTTGAAAAATAGGATGACACCCGACGGGTGAGCCACGCTTTTCAGTCTGCTTATTGGAACGAAGCTGGATTTTTGCCTGCCTAGTTCGCATCTACTTTTCCCGGGTGAAGCAGAGGGAATGTTTCTTCAACTGGCAGCTCAGGCTGAAGAAAGGGGGAAGGAGGATCAAATGTTGATACAACAGCAGGAGGTGGAAGTCTTGTTTCAGCTCTTTGCAGGGGGGGAGGGGTGCCAGGAGAATCGACAGCTTGGTAGCAGCTGGTGACTTGTCACAAAGCAATAAATGTGTGGATCAACCTGTGGGCGTACATGTGTATGTGCAGGGCTTCCTGAATCAGTAGATGTCTCTCTTTGAACTTCTCAGGAGGTTTATGAAGATGGTTCTGTCCCCTCTCCCAGGGAATGGGGAACATGTGGCTAAGGAATTCATCCAGATTTGGTTTCTCATCCATGTAGATCAAGTGGTCAGATATGTTGACAGTACATGTTTAATCTATGAGAAGCTGTTGGGTTGGAGGAAAGCAACAGAAGGCACCCCAAATAAAGTTTTCCATGTAATACACCCATTTGTTTCAGGAATTGGGTTGGGTGTTTTTTTGGAATGGCCAACCAAGCATGCTCCAGATGTGCTGAGATCACAAAGCTTGGTTTGGAGTTCTGAGAGCCACAATCCCAACACATCTGGATTAGGTTTGGAAGGTGAAGAGAAGAACATGTCCCAAGAAGTTCCACTGACTGAAAGGATGTTCAAACACAAGGATCTTTTAACTAAAAGTTACAATGGTGGTTTATAAAATTATGAATGATGTGGAGGAGATTGATGGAGAACTTTGTTGTTCTCCTTGTCAGGTATCACTCACAATCTCCCAGCTGAAACTCTGCTATTGATCCTGGATGGACAAAAGAAAGGAATGCTGTATCCTGTGTAAATCTGGATTTCCCTGCCACAAGATGTGGTATGGGTCTTTGGCTTAGAGGGTTTCACAAGGGAATTGAACTGATTCACAAAGGACCAAGTTATCTCTGGGTATTCAGCAAGGGTGCAACATGCAATTCTCAGATTTAAGGACAGTCTGTCTTTGGATATCAGTTACTATGGAAGAGAATGGCAAGAAACAGATGGTGGTGTTGGATTTCTTAGAAGGGTCTAGCTGAAAGAAAAAAAGATGGATCTCTTAACAGTACCATTAATTCATTTATTAGATTTATATCTGCTTCTTTCCTGTAGGATCTAAATACCCCATACTACTATATTCTTTCCTCCAATCATCCTTTCACAACTGTGTAAGGAGCCTGCAGTATGAGACAGTAGAGGCCCAAACTCACCAATTAATTTCCAAGATAGACTTGATCCTGGGTCTCACTCAGTCTTTCTCTAACACTATAAATATTACACCACAATTTACTACCTACACATAAAGCTGAGTTCCTACCACAAGCCATCCAATCCCATTTTATGGGCTAAACCTAGCTTTATTCTTCTCATGTTCACAATTACCCCTTATTCCCAGAAGTTATTCCAGCTTCTCTTACTTGATCTTCCTATCATTCAAGTGCTGAGCCACTAACCAAATGTTAGCAACCTTCCCCAATCTTCTCTGGCAGTTCCTATCCTCCCCAGCAAGCATGCTCAGATGATAGGATTTATAGCCCATCCTTCTGGACTTAGCTGCTTCAGTTCCTTGAGAAAGGCTATTCTGCAATAGAAAAAGGTTTTTTTCTGAAGATTTAGCTGGCCTGTAGTGAGTTAACCATCTGGTTCTTAACAGGCTCTTAAGTGAGGGTTGGGGCACTTTGCCTGTGTGCATGTGTGTTAATGTGTACGTGTGTACCTATTTCTTTTAAATTTTCCACGTATACTTACTGTAACACTTACTGGTTGGCTTATGACAGAGCATCTCATGATAGAGTAGACAGCATTGTCCACGGGAAAATGTTAAAGAAGTTAAGATGGTGATTGGGAAGTGCCATCCCCCTTCATATGTTCTGCACATATTTTATAAATAACTTTATTGTCATTGTACGTGTATACAGTATACCCATACAATAAAATTCACTTAACACCCAAAGACCAGATCCAACACACATAACAATCCCCAAACACCTACCCCCCACCCACCCACCACAAATTCCCCACCCCTAAACCACCCAAACATCCACACAACAGACCAAGTTATGCTGTCCAACAGCTCACTGATGGTGGCCCTTTAGTTCATTGTTGAGTACAGTTATAGCTCTGGGATAAAAGCTATTCAGAAAACATGTGGTCCAAGTTTTAATTGTTCTGTATCTTCTGCCAGAAGGCAACAGTCCAAAAAGATTGTAAGCAGGATGGGAAGAGTCTCTGAGAATGTTATGCAACTTTCTCAAACAGCGAGATTCGAAGATGTCATCCAGGTCTGGTAGCTGGAGTCCGATGAGATTCTGGGCAGTTTTAATGATTCTCTGTAGAGCTTTTTTGTCCACTACAGAGCTGCTCCCATACCATGCAAGAATGCCGTATGTCAGGACACTCTCAATGGTGCTGCGATAGTAGGACCGAAGTAGATGCTGAGATAGCTTTATCTTCCTGAGCATGATTGCATGATTGCAATTGTTTTGATTTGCTCTGGATTTTTGTTTTGTTTTACCCACTTTATTCCTATGTACACACAGAGATCAGAGATGGCAAACTTGAGATCCCATGCCTGGAAATTCTTCTTCGCGTGTTCCTGTGGTCACTTGTCAGTAAAAATTTCTGAGAGAGTTTCTTGCCATTTTGAGACAGGAAACTCTTAAAAACTGCAAGTTGTCCAATTGAGTTAATTAAGTTTAAGAAGGCAAAAAAGCCCACCTCAAAACTCTCCCCCAAGGAAAAATTAGCTCCATTCAAACTGTTTGACTTCTGGTAGACTTTTCAGGCTCCCTCAAAAATGTTAAGAGCAGTCTCCAAACCCCAAAACATTGCCCTGTCCTCCATAAATTTAGAGTTAGATGTGACTATGGAGGCTACCAAGTCCAGCTCTCTGCTTGTTGTAGGACTTCTGATTAAAACATCTCCACCAAATCTCTCCAGGCAAAAGTTTAGTGAATCCAATGAAGGATGCTTACCATCTTTGATCATTATCCCCAAAGTTACCCTTCTCATACCATTAAGAAAATGGAAGCTTCCGGTGAAGGCTGCCTATATTAGATTATTTTCAGCACCAGATTCTCTCCCTGTGTTGATTTCTCCTCAACACCTCCCCCCCCCCACACCCATTGGCATATATGCTGGATGCCCAGCAGCTACTGATACATTGGCAACCTACCAGTAGATTAGTATTAAGATGGCTTAACCAGAAGAAATGTCTTTCTTGGTGCCAAGTTCCATGAACTCTCATTTACATTTCATCTCCGTTTCCAGCAAAGCATTGATATAGCATCACTCTTGGTCCCAAGGGGAAACTTCAATGCTCCTACTGTACCTCACAATAGCAGCCAAACAATCCCCATAGAAAGAAAAAGTCAACTAAAAGTTTTGTCAGATTTACATGTTGCTGTTCTGCATTCCAACAATTTGGTCTTCACGTGCCATAATTAAGTTATTTGATGCCACACAGATCCCATGAGGACAACTGACAATGGCTGTGTGGGTGAAGATTATAATCCACTGCATCAGGAAGGCACCAGATTTGTGTCCCCATTATGAGAGTTCAGGAAAGCCTCTTTCCACTCCGTAGGCTTAATCTAACAAGTGCATTATCTCAGTTTCTGGATTTGTATAATGCACAGTATAGTGTTAGAAAATGACCATATGGGCTGAATTCACACAAACCATGGGGACCTGGGAGGAAACAAAGTCCATCAAAGAGATGATGTAGAAAAGTAGCTGCTCCATCTACAATTGATTCTTGTGTGACACAACCACCAAATGCTGCAGGGTAATGTAATTTAATCAAAGGTGGTGATGAATTAGCCCTCTGCGTTAGAACTTTCCCATCTATCCAGGGATATAAAGAGCCTTGGTGGCACAGCAGACTAAAGTGCTGTGAAAGAGCACCAGCTGCCTGCAATTACTGCAAGTTCAAATCTCACCAGGCTCAAGGTTGACTTAGCCTTCCATCCTTCCGAGGTAGGTAAAATGAGGACCCGGATTGTGGGGGCAATAAGCTGACTTTGTATAAAAAAGAACACCGCTTAGGGGGGCCTGAAAGCCCTACTAAGCAGGTATAAACAAAAGTATGAAGGCTATTGCTTAACGCATTGTAAGCCGCCCTGGGTCTCCGGA